CAAAGATGTACGGTTGCATAATTGGGCATCTGTTTGCAGTCATTTTCAGGTGCTGGTGTAAACATTGAGTTGGGGGTGTGGCCACCAGCAGCTTATTTCAATGTAAAGTGACAAGATGCCCTAAAACAGCTCAAAATAGACAGAACTGCAACTAAAACCTCATTTTCTAAGAATGGTTTTGTGGAAAAAGCTGAAAGGAACATGTTTTGTATCGCCCATAAACCTAACCTAACCTGTTCAAGGAAGCATAATAGTTCACCGTTAAGCACAGACTTCAGAGCGTTAGTCACTCCTTCAGCTCTTTTCACTGCCTTTCTTATGTCATTCTTCCCATCTATCATCTGTCTGCAGTTAAGGATCACTTATTCTTAGAGTTCAGAGCAGCAGCAGCAAGAGCTTCTCTGCTGAGAGCGTCATCATCTCTGCGGAAATTGTACAGAAATGCCACTGCGATGACATCTGCTCACTGAGACCGCTGAACCAGAACATAGCTGCATTTTTATTTTCATCACGGATGCTCACGCTGCCATCAGATGTCTGGATATCAAGATGGAGGGAGATTTGCAAACAATGCTTTATGCCTGGCCGGTTTCAGTTTCATCTTCCACTGAAGCGACAGCGGCTCCACTTTATAATATGATACAGCAGTCGTCTTTTTTAATCTTCTTCTGATGTAAACTCTCATCCAAACTGCAGTATCAGCTTCACACAGATGCAACTTTCCCATATTGGTAAAATTCATATTTGAATTAAACCCTGCTGTAATAAAATGCAATGAAAGCTTTGCTAAGACTTGCTCATCTGGTTATATTTACCCAGAATCTCCTGTATTAATTTGGTAAACTGAGCTTTCTGTGTTATTCTCATACTGAATCACATTATTAACTTTATTCAGCAATCTGTTTCTGCTCCGATGTATTCTGTAAATCTGAACAACAGAACAAAGCTGCTAACCCTAAATCTAATTCGATACAAACTGCTACTTCACTTCAAAAACACAAAATCTTACCAAGTATTTTTACTCTAGTTTTTAGAGGAACTATCTTAATTAACTTATAAGTAACTTTTCAGCAAGACATGGAAGCTTAATTTAATTAATAAATCCTTACTATTGATGAAAATGTGTTAATCCTATTGGCAGATTATTTCACTTGTAATATGGGAGAAATGTCTTGTAAATTAAATAATCTGACATGTTTTGTCATCAAGCCTAAAAAAACCTTGAAGCTGAAAAATTGTTTTTAATTATTTTTTTCTGTTTCAAATCTTTTTTTTCCTAGTTTCATTTTTTTTTTCTTTTAAACAAACTTTATGACTCAAATGTAGCTCCATACTAAATAAATTACACTAGAGTTTGACTTGGGGAATTTAAATTCCAAGTAAGGATTTAAGAAGGGTTTTTTTTTATGTTTTGTTTTGTTTTTTAAATTTTCTGCAGGTGTCAAAATTCATGACATCAGTTCTGGTGTAAATATCTTTTTTAAAATTATATTTTTAAGCAGTGACTGGTTTTTAAATCCTGATTTTTGCCTTGATTTATTATTATTGTGAATGTCTATTCTGAAATCATAATAGATACTCTACCATTTTACAGTGTTTAAATGTTTACTTGGAATTGTAAAAAAGACAATTCTTTTCATTGACAAAAACATAAATTAAACTAATCTCAAGGACATGAACCTAAAAACTGAATGTTATGCTCACTGCGCATGCATACTATCTTTTGGGTGCAATTGTCTTCTCTTGAGTTCTTCTTCTCAGTGAGGATTTACCTGAAATTCTCCAACATTCTGGTAAATCCATACAATTTCCATCACAATTGGGGGCAAAAAAGATCAGTTGAGGATTTAATCCTCCGTTCTGGAGGGAAGAAGCAGCAGAGCGCTACAGCTCCATAACAACTGCTCCAAATTATGACAGGATGTTTGATTAACCACCTGCTGGGTTATAGATTTTACAAATAATTGACAGACGTGATGTTGCTTAGCTCTTTGGGTTTAGTGTGCACCTGTTGTGTGATGCTTGAAGGGCCAACAGCGCGCAGACACCTTGTTTTCTCTTCAGGATAATAAATCCCCATTATTGAAAGTTGCTGGGTGAATGGAAGAAAGCACAAAGTCACACCCATTCAGCATCATAGCAGGGACTTAACTGCTGCTACACCACAAATGAATCAAACATCTGTGATGAGACACAGATGTTCATTCAAAAAGAGGTGTAAGGAAAAGGATGAGACTAAAATGAACTTAACACAAAAACATCCAATTTGGCTTCTTACATTTACATATCATCTAAATTCCTTCAAAATTATCTTCTAAGTCTAATCAGGACAAACTATTACCCCACACGATTTGATGTTTTTCAATATGATCATTTTTAAAGGAGTTTCTTCCAAATTCTTCATATTTTTCTCATTTAGAAATTCCTGAAAAATCTGTAAAAACATAAAATATTTGCAAGTACTTTTGTCCTAGTTTATAGTGCAAATATCTCAGTACACCTGAAGAAGACAAATTTACAAGTAATTTTTCAGCAAGATATGGTCATATAATGCTTATATTTTATTTGTTTTAACATCTGAGAAGAAGCTCCCTAAAACCTCCCACAAACTAACAATAAAATATTTCAATCTGTTGTAGTAATTATTTGTAATTATTTCATTTAAAATATTCAATCTGCATTTTAAGTGCACCAAACTAAGTAATAAAAACCTTCATTACAATGCTAAAGCTAGTTAGCTTGCCAACGGGTGACGGTGGATAAGCAGTTTTCCTGAGGCAGGTAAGTTGTTTCTTTGTGTGCATGTGGCTTCTTCTCACAGTCCCAAAACATAACTATTAGGGTAATTGGCCTCTCTAAATTGGTCAGAGGTGTGTATGAGTGTGTGCATAGTTGTTTATTCAGTGTGTGTCTGTGCTATCATGGCAACCTGTACAGTTTGTACCCAGCCTCTTGCCTAATGGCTGCTGAAAACAGCCCACACAAAATCCTCTGAGATGATGGATGGAGGATCCATCATCTTACATGATGATCCATCATCTTACATGATGGATGGATGATCACCTTCTTTGGATTTAGTTTTTGTGTACACTTTTCCATGGGTGGTTCTACACAGAAGTCAACAGGGGCCAGCACCCGGTATAACTGCCCATCATTATGGCCCCTGTACAGAAGAGATAACGTTAAGTATGATAATACACAGCTAACTAAATACATTATTTGACTTTGACATTGCTTTATTGTTCTTTAAAGGGAACATATTATGCAAAATTCACATTTCTCTCATTTTTGTACTTCCATTTGGGCCTCAACTGCTTCTCAAAGCAGTCCAAATGCTTAAAAAGCCAACCAGATGTTTTTAGACAATATGTTTGTATGTTTTAGTGTCAGAAAAATGACATGTTTCAAAAACCTTCTGAATGTCAGGTCACAAATCCACAAGCACTGCCCGTCACCTAGCAACCACAGGGAAGCCCAGCCCGTCACCTAGCAACCAAAGCAGAATTCTAGGGAATTTGGTCAGTTGGTTTTGTGTTTTTGAAGGAGCTCAAATGGACTGCACTTACAGTATATAGCGCTTTTCCAGTCATTTTGACCACTCAAAGCACTTTACACTAGAGTCACATTCACCCATTCGCACTCACAAACGCTCACACATTTATACACTGATACACAGATCGGTTGGCACTTTGGGGTTAAGTGTGACACATTGACATGTGGCAGGAGGAAGCTGGAATCGAACCTACAACCTTCCGATTGCAAGACGACGACTCTACTGTGGCTGATTTTGATGGTCGCCCAGCCGATCATCAAAATAGACAGAACCGACCAGAATGAAACTTCTTTATCTAAGAATGATGTTGTTCATAAAATGTAATGAACATGTTCGTTATAGAACATTTAGTTCTAATTTGTCACTTTTAAAAGATCCCTGCCTTGCAAAGTATTTAACATTAAAAGCAGAATAAGACGTTTTGAAAAGCACTTAAATTATTAAATAGAAAACAACATAGAGTCAATAACCACTGAAAACAAGTTTGATTTTAAGAGACACAAACAGCAGATGACTCGTTAAAGGCAGCAGCCGATAGAAGAAAAAGTTTTTCTCTCTTTGAGAGAAACTCACTCCAGCTTGTTAGCTCAACAAATCTCAAATGTCTCGGGTCAAGGCAGCTTCACATCTAAGGTCGGACAAACAGAGAAACTTTGCAGTCAAACGGCTTGTTTGGCTGCTAGTTTAATGTAAGAAAATAATAAGTTGAGAAACTCGTGTTGTTTTGTTTCAGGCTGTGACTCAACAGTGAAGTTTGAACAAAGCTCAAAGCAGAACTACAGTTTGATGGCACTAGAACACAAATTGCAGTAATTTTGTATGCATTTTGCTTTGTATAACTAGTATTTACTTCAAAAAACACAAGTGACACTACAAACTATACTTATCAAGTTCATTCATCGCTTTATAATTATAGAAGACATAATGTGAGTGCCACATTCTGTCCTCATCTCAGCTGACATTTTAAACACGCTAAAAATTTTACACACGCACTGTCCGACAAATGTCACATCTGCAGCTCAATCGATTGTTATGAAGTCTAACATGAATTTATTCATTCAGTCTGTGCTGCAAAAAAATCTATTATTTTCTTTAATTTCCACAATCCAAATTTTATTTTATCGAATTATTTTCATTTTCAAAATACACAAATCTGCTCATAACTTTGTATTTTTGTCCCTCTGGTGACATTATTTTACAATACAACGATCAGTTACTCTGTGCTCAAGTAACCTTTTTACCAAATATTGTTTTACTCTTGAATATTTTTTGACTGCCACTTGTTAACTTGACTAAAAATATGTTGAAGTTTTGCTAATTAAGTAAAATGTTTGGGTCATCTGTGGTTTTGACCTTTGACCCCTTCCATAGAGGTCATATAGTCAGACAGGATCTATTAGGCAGTAACCAAGTTTGACTTCCGAAATAAAAAACACAGTCAAGTGTAGATTTAACAAGGTTTTTATTATTTCCATAAATAAAAGTTTTGCTCAGGTTATTTCTGTCTTATATTAAAGTTTGTTTAATGATCTGAAAATACTTTTCCACATCACATAAACATTGAAATGTGCACAAACAGCGATGGCCAACTAAAGGCTGAAAAACCATTTTACAAGATAAGGAAACTTACAGCAAACAGCAGCATAACTAAACTGTTCAGCATTTGCATCATTCCTAAAATATCTACATTTTCAAAGTGATAAGATTATTTTTCTACTGATTTATTTGTACAAAGAGGAATGTGACAGTCTTAATGTTTTGTATTTAAAGTGTGCTTTAGATTCATTTGTGTCACCGTTAGTAAAAGTTCACACCCTCCATCTCACCTGCTTTTAGTGATGTTTGTAAAGCTGATGTGAAAATCTTTATTACACATTTTGAGACAAAAACATCGCGGCTCAGATGTAGTTTTCTTTTGGCACGAGGTCATTCAGGACAACGGCAGGTAAATCCGCCACGGTGGTGAAGGTGTTGAGGCGCGGCATCCTGTGAGACGTCGTCAGCACGCTTGACCCCTGACCTCCGTGCTTCTCTGTTCCTCTCCTGCGAGTCAGGGGGTTGAGACAGAGGTAGGACAGGAATTTATTGTGCAGCGAAGCGTAAATGAAGGGGTTGTAGCACGCCGAGCTCATGGCGAGCAGGTGAGCAGACACCTGGATGACGTTAATGTAATTCTTCCCCAGTATGGAGAAGTCTGTGTCCAGGTCACGGATCAGGTTCACCACCTGGAAAATAAGGCGTGTTATTGAAAGGCAAGAAACAGTAATATTTCAGAAATATGCAGTCCAATATAGAAAGCAAATCAACCTCTTGTAGCATGACCCGATCTGTTTTTGACCTTGGAGGTTCAATACTCCAAGATCTGCATGCAAAGTTTCTTTCATTGGGTGAATGAAATGCACTGAAACATTTCAAATATGCAGAACAAGGACATAGTTTGTGTCTGGTTTGTTTGGGGAAGTGTGAATGTGCCATCAAACTCTAATGCCCAGCAAAAAAGTGAAACCTTAGTTTTGATTTGTTTGAAGTGAAACCTGCTGCGGTGTGAATGCACATGTTAGCGGCAAGCAGACCAAAGACGGCTCCAGAATCAGGAGGTGGGCTAGAGTGCAAGGCATTCTGGGTAAATGCAATTAAAACAAGTTTATCACCTGTGGGAGAAATGGGTGGACATCTTTTACCAAAGACAAAATAGAAATCCTACAAATGATAAAATCTGTTGTTTTGCTACTTAGCTACTTCTGTACACTTCATGCTATATCAACCGTTCAACTTTCACCATATTCTGCTGACTCAGGACGTTACGTCTATGTCTTTTGGTATTGACATCATCTACAGTTTATGAAATATTCAGCTTTTTGCGATCATCTTGAGCCCCATTGAAATTAATGAAGCATCCCATATTTCTGAAACATTATGCTAAAAAATTTTCACAGCTAACTAATTCAGTGTACTTCCAGATTTTAACACCATTTAAACTATAAAATGTGGTCATATCCTCCAAATACTTCTCTTTATTTCAGGTTTTCCAGATTTAAGATTTTGCTTGCAGTACGAACAGTCTTCAGAAAACCCAAACAAACCACTGGAACATTGTAACATAACCACTATGTTTGTTTTTGTTTTTTTCCTGGATAAATACATTGAAGAGTAAATGTATCATCTGATTTGTATAACAGTTGCTGTTATTTCATTGTAAAATTATTCCGCTTTGGATTTTTCATTTTGAATTTTGACTTTCAAAATTGAAAGATCCAGGCTATTCTTCTAGGATATTCAAGGAATATCCTGGCAGAATATCTTCTAGGATATTCTTCCATATCCTGGAAGAATGGAGAAATTCTTCCAGGATATGGAACTCTTTTGTGGACAATATTCGCATGAAAAAGGAACAGGAATATTTGGACATTTAACCATTTGGGTTTCTATACTGACATGAACTGAGTGAATTAAATCTAACCTAACCTTTTTTTTGAGTGATTTTTGGTTATTGATCAATTTATCAGGATAACTATTATTATTTCTTAGCTTGTGGTTTTTGTAATAAATCATTGTTGCTAAAACTCAACTAAATTTCATATTGAGTGGTTGGCTATTTATTTACTTCTCAAATTAACTGGTGTAACATATTTTACCTGATGCCTGTGACGTATCCCCCTTGTGTGAGTTCCGCTTAAATAGAAGCTGAATTTTACAACGTGAGAGCTAAATGTAACGCTAGCTCCAACCGCTCCTTCAAACCCCAATGTCATCATTTCCTACTGTAGCCCAGGGTAAAATCTGCCCTTTCGCCCGCCTCTGCTGCTCCAGATGCAGCATCATTGGTCAGAATGACGGTCAGTCATGGAGCAGAAGTGATGGCCTGCTCCAGCTTTCCCAGTCAGCTGTGAGGGGGAGGTCAGCTGCTACAGGTTTGTGCTTCCAAACAACTAATTAATCGCTTTGTTTGTTATGCACTTTTAAAATATTATTTAGATCTGAACAACCAGTGAGCTTGGAGCCACAAAGTTTGTCTTGCACAGAACTGCGAATGGAACTGGTGAACAAAATGTTTGTTGTTTAGCATGGTGGTTTTTGTAGCCTCTGCTAATTGTTGGGTGGCGTCTGCAGCCAATTATTACCTTTTTAACTTATTAAACTCAATATGATTTTAATATGAGTTAGATGAGATATCTCTATTTTTGTAAAGACATACAGATTTGTTGACATAATTGCATTTGATTTATGTACTTGACCATTGAAAAGTGTCTAGCTAATTTGCAGTCTGGTAATTTACTGGTCCTGTTTATTTTAATGCAGGCCAGGTGACCCTTTTAGGGTTCAAGGGTGGCGAGTTTCTGACTGGGAGCCAGCGGACCTGAAGGTTCCTCTACTGGTCTGGTAGGAGGCTGTGAGGGTCTGCACCTCCACCTCACCATACAGACACACAAACCACTATTCATATCTTCTCTGTTGACAACAAACAGGGCTTGGATATTTTCCCCTCACATACCTGGACTTACAAACCCCTGGACTTTTCAAATGTTGCCAGTTGGTCCCTGTGCTGACCTGTGACAATCAATGGGGAAATTTAGGGCTGTTGTTGCACAGTTTGTGCACCTTCATCCGGACGATTTGCTGCAGTACTGTGTGATTGTATTTATTTTTTGGGTTCCATTTGTGTTTTTGTGATGTCCACTTAATTTTTTTCTTCAAAATACCTGGTATTGATAGCCGTTATTCTTTTGCATTGTTTTCTTTTAATTACTTCAGCTCCAGGGGTCATGTCAACTTCTGCAATTTCCACTAAAAATATTCAGCTTACAGCATTCACAATGCAGAATTTCTAACGTTTTGTGAAGAAGAAAGTTGCTCTCAGTATCTTCTTTAGAGATTTACGTGTTTCCTGTAGTGGTTCTTGTCTTGGTGCAGCGCCCCCAGAGGTGAGGAGAGGAACAGGTTTTGGTTCATTTGACTGCAGTGTGAAAGTGAATGGCAGCAGCTAAAAATGCAACAAATGTTGCAATTTTGATTCCCAGTTGAATCAAGTTCAGACTATCGGGTAAAATCACAACAGTCTCTGATTGGCTGCTTCCCAAAGGTGGGTTTAAACACTTTGAACCCACTTCAAGTGGGTTTCAATTTGACCTAATTTGTTGATCATTTTGATTTCCGTCTCTGGCTTTTGCCTTATAGATCATCCATTACATCATTGGTTTCTCGTCGGACCGTTGTGTTAGTTCTCCACTTTGCAGGAAGATTTGTTGTGGCCTTTGGCACCAAACACTCTTCAGTAAATTAATTAAACCTGTAAAGTGGAAGATGGGCTCATGTCCTTGTTAGACAACACAACCCGCAGATCTTTAACTTGATTAATATGCAATAAATTGGATGACAGGACCGAACTTCACACAGGAAATCAATAATCTTCCCCATCGCCACATGCCTAATATAATTTAATTTGAGTCTGTTCATATATTTGGATTATTTTGGATAATATGATTCCATATTACCAGTTAAACATTTGTAAATGGGTTTCTTACCATTGCGTATTGACTCTGCATCAATAAAAGTGACTGAATGTGGTAAAAATTAACAGTTTCTACAGTTTTGTAGCTGCAATTTGTCATCGTTTAAGCTGTGTCAAAGAAACAGCAGAGTGCAGCTCAAAGTGTTATATAACTGCTGACTTGCTATTTTTCTCCATGTTTTCCCATTAAAAGATCTGTATGTGCAGACATTGCAATGAAAGCCATGACTAATAAAACTAAATCTTTTTTAAAGCGATGGTCCAGTTTTAGAGCTTTCAGGCCCGTTGACGGTGCTTCTTATGTGCGCTGCTACGTGGCTTTTGGATGTACATGACTGATGTTTTATGATTCATGGCATCCACAAATAACCTAAACATTTTCTTCTTCTTATAGATCAGAAAATAATAATAACTTCTTAATATTTTTAGTCTAGTTCGTAGTACATTTGAAATAAGACAAAACTAACTTATAAGTAACTTTTCAGCAAGATATGAGAGCTTATTTTAGGTAAATAATTCCTTAATATTGAGGAAAAGGTACTAGTTCCATTGGTGGAAAAATGCTTTAAGTGAAATAATCTCCCAGTGGAACTAGTTCTTTAGACGTGTTTCTTCTTCATGTTCAAATTGCTTCCACCAGTGATCCAAGCCACACTGGTCTCTGAATTACTCTTAGTGTGTGTGTGCATGATTATTTTTGGTGTGGAATACCAACCAGTCCAGCATTTACTTTTCTTCTTGTTCATTTACTGCTGGAAATAGGCACCAGCTCCCCTTGCGACCCTTCAACAATAAGCAGCAAAGAAAATAAATGGATGGAATCTGGTTTGATTGGCTCCAGGACTGCAGGTTCAGGCATAAAATGGGCTTTAATCTGATTTCCTAACTCTCAAGAGATTCCCCTTTTCTACTCAGAATGTCAATCAGCGTGATGCTTCATTCCAGGGTATCTGCAGATTTCGGCAACTCAAATTTAAGACTTTTAAAGACCGCTGTGAATGAAACTTAAGACCGGTATCATAACAGAAACCTACAGAAGAAAACTGCATATTAATACTATCAACCACTATAATACCGAGCCTATTTGAACAGAATGCATCTCGCTTTTCATTGGTTGGCAACGGAAGAGAGCCAGAAGCAAAAACAAACATCCAGTAAACTGATGATAAATTTGCTTGCTTACCCATGACAGATACAAAACCTACCTAGCTAACAAGGGTATATTAGCAGCTGCAGCCTCAGCCGCCTAAAGTCGCAGAACGCAAACAAGGTTTTTGCGCACAACTCAAGCTTTTGCCTGACAGAAAAGTCATTCAAAGAAAATATGTAAGGCCTCTGATTAACGTATTTCAGGGCAACTTACATTTTTTTAATTAATTTAAGAGATTTTTAAGGCTGTAATTTAAGATACATTAATTTGAAGGGAATATATTATGAAACATTCAAAGTTTACACGGCTTTGTACTTCCATTTGGGTCTGAGCAGCTTTTACAAACAGCCCAGATGCTTAAAAAGTTTTCTGGTTCCTGGAAAATGTGCAATTTCAAAAGCCTCCTGAATGTTGAGTCACGCCATCACCTAGCAACCCTGGCTTAGCCTAGCCCGTCACCTAGCAGCTGAAGCAGAGCTCCAGCTCATTTGGTCAGCTTATTTTACCACTGTATGCGCTGTACAATGGCTGCTGGAAAAGACAAGTGTTTTGTTGTTGACTTACCATCCAGAAACCACTTTCTGCATTCTTGTGCAGGAGACTCCACTTCTGCTTTTCAAAGATGTACTGCTGTATATTTGCGCATTTGTTTGCAGTCATTTTCAGGAGTGAGTGTAAATGTTGAGTTGGGGGCCAGCAGAAGTTAATTTGGATGTAAAGTGACGGAGGCCCTAAAATATCTCAGTCTGAACTGACCAGACCAAAATGTCATTACCCAAGAATGATTTTGTGCAAAAAAATGTAATGAACATGTTTTCTAGACACCTATCACAACCTTCTCAGCCTATTCAAGGAATCATGATAGGTCACCTTTAAGGCTTTTTAAAACTTTTTAAGGATATGCAGACAGCCTGTATTCATGTTTACCTGCAAGGGGAGCCAGGAGAAGGCAAAGCAGAGAACAGAAACCAGCAGCAGATAGAAGGTCTTCCTCCGCCGTCTACTCCAGGCGGCCCGTGCGCACCTCAGCTCGGGACATGCTGTCAAACTGGACGTGGTCCTCCGCTTCAGGTGGCAGGATATAGCACAGTAGGAAATGGACACAGCAGCCAGCGGGACAAAGTAGGAAAAGAAGAGGATGAAACAGGAGTAAATGAGTCTGCCTTGTTCCTGTCCATCCCAAAACTCCTCGCAGACCGCCATGTCCAGGCCCGCAGCGTGCAGGTCCAGGTAGACCGTGTGAAGCGCAGTCGGGGTGGAGAGCGCCAAAGAGGACAACCAGATCAGCATCACCAGGCAGCAGCAGAATTGACATCCCACTCTCTTGCGAATGGGATACGCTACAATGATATAACGATCCACTGCGATGGCCATGAGGGACAGAACCGCTGCGTAAACAGCGGTGGACTGCATCACGGTCACAAAGTGACACATGTGGTACCCGAACACCCAACCGCGCCTGTCGAAGGCGTAGGAGGCCGTCAAAGGGACGCAGAAGACGCACATCACCAGGTCGACTAGCGCCAAGTTACTGATGAGGAAGTTAGTGGTGTTGTGTCTCTTTTTGTTGTACCAGATGAGAAAGAGGAGGAGGAGGTTCCCGGAGCAGGCGATCAGAACCACGACAGAGTAGAGCGGGATGAAGAGGAGCTTCAGGCTGAACAGTAGGTCGAAGCCGGAAAACGTGGGGACCGGAAACAGAGAGGGGTGGAAGAGGAGGTGGGAGGAGTTACAGCAGGAGGATGAAGAGAAGGAGGATGAAGAGTCAGAGGCCAGGGTCGAAGAGTTCACTCTGGAGAAATTCATCGCTTTCTCCCAGTCCATGTCTGCAGAAACGAAGACGGAGATGATCAGGTCGACATTCAAAAAGAAACTGAGACTCACTCCACCGATCCGATTACTTATATCTGTATCGTCCCGATACTGAAAAATATTCTAGATTGGGTATCAGTGATGATGTTTCCGGTCCATATGCTTTGGATTCTGAGCAACATCATGTTTTATCATTTATTTTACATTTACAATTCATAATTGAACTATTCTGAACTATTTGAAAGGTTTGTAGCAGTTTAGTTTTGTCAGTTTTATTTTTATACTCCAAAATGAACTGACTGAACAAATTCAAATGATTTTTTTACATATCTGACCAAGATTGGGAAGCTATTGGTTTATTTAAGTGTGCTGCACTGTTTCTAATTCAGTACATTTATCTCTTTTTAATTTTTTTTTTAAAGAAAAGTTTTCAGTCAATTCAAAACTGTTTTCCTGTATTGGATAGACACCAGCCGATAATAAACCTTAGATATTGATATCAGTATCGGCATTGGAAGTGAAAAAAATGGACCACTGCAACCCCAAGATTCAAAAACACAAAATCATAATGAGTATTTTTGGTGCAGTTTTAAGTGAGCATTTCTTAATACACTTGAAATAAGACAAAAACTTACAAGTAACCTTTTAACAAGACACAAGAGCTTGTCAATAATTTCTTAATATTGATGAAAATGTTCTAGTTCCACAATTAGGTTGTATCACATGTTTCCAATTTTAGTGAAACGAGTATTTTTTAAAATCAATGTTAAATTATTTACTTCAAAGAAGCTCCTATATCTTGCTGAAAAAAGTTACTTGTAAGTTTGTCATATTTCAAGTGTTTTAAGATATTTACACAAGAAACTAGACCAAAAATACTGAAGCCTTTGTGTTTTTGCAGAGCAATTAAAATATTTCATGTTAACTTTATGGTTGAACATTTCTATAAAACTTTATGATTTCAGTTTATTTAAAAAATGATTTATTTTTTGGCTTGCGAAGTTTGGACACCCTTGGCTTAATGAGATGAGTCACATTAGAGCAGAATAATCAGCGGCCACTTCAGAGCTCTCCATCAAGCTCATTAAAGAACCTTCAGCGAGGCTTTTTGTCCCCGTCAACAAACCCAACACTTCTTAGTTTGCAGCTTTTATTCTCTGAGCCTCTCTAAATCTGATGCATCGGGTATTCATGAGAAGACCAGATGATGTGTTCAGCACACGTGAACCACGCTGAACATATCCTCAAACATCTTTACATGAAATTAAATACTCATTTACCCTTTACACGTGACGTCATTCGCATCGAAACTCGGCCCGCTCCGCCATGACGGACGTTAAAACAACCTGTGCGTTCCTGTAAAACCTGTCGAAAAAAACGCATATGTGGTGGCCTAATATCGCTTTTATTAAGCTGATTTCGCAGTAAAAAGTGGTCATAGGATACTTCGCGGTCAAACAGACACGGATACAAACCAAACCTGTCATTTTATTGTATAACTTTTAACGAGGAGCGATGGGCAGCAGCCGTCAGCCATAATGACTGGCTACTCGGTGTAACCGCGGACTTGCAGCGAACACGTTTTACAAGGTAAGAGTAACGTTCATATACTTTATAAGTATTATTAGAAAGATATGAAATGTTGCATTATGGCGGAGGTAGCGTCTGACCATCAGTAACCATGGAAACGGTGCCGCACCGTCATGTAGCCTAGCATGTATGGTTAGCTACATGCTGGTTAGCATCTCGTCTTCTGTACGTTTTTAATGCTGCTCCGGTGTAAAGGGAACCGCAGTTTATGACATAGTGACAAAAAATAATGTGGTGTGAATTCAGGCAAAGTCGGTAATTTGATCACATCAGGAGGGAGGAGGTACGGGTCGGTTTCTAAGCTAGCTGTTTCCTACTTCTGTAAATACCGCCGTCTATGAGCCCCAACCAGGTTTGTTACGCTCAGAGTCAAATTTGTTTGACTTGAACAAGTAAAACCCATTAATAAACTGGCAAAAACAACTTGGGAAAACAACTTAAGTCGTTCAGTTCAATACTCCCGATCTTCATTTCCGACGTAACATCATGGCGGCTAGAATGACTGAGTGACGTAGTTGCAAAGGTTCAATATCATCAGATATTAAACAAAAAAGTCAAGAAAGAGGACTTGATTTGCGGCTTTTGTTAAAAAAAAAAGATTAAAAACACTAAATAATTAAATATAATTCAATCTTCCAGATCAGAAAAAGATTAAACAGCAGCAAGACTCACTTTTACACTGGAGGTGGGTGGATACAGAACAATCTGTCTCTCTTTGTGTCAGTTTTGTGATTGAAAAGAGAACAATTAGCAGGCATCAAGCACACAATCAGAAGAAATCCCATCTGAGATGCTGAAGCCCAGGTAGCAGTGATGCAAAAAGAGGCAACGCCTCATTACGTGTTCAACGCACTGTAGCGCAGAAATAAGTGCATCATAATGAGCCTGGCTACTGCATGTCTTTAGTCTGTCTCAAACTACCAAATTATTCCCAAAAATAATCCCAATCAAAACTTAAAATTAATATTTATACCATCTTGGTTTAAAGCTGCAACATAAAATAATGCTATTCTGACTTTAGACTTGTTTTAAGTCAACTATTCTTCTGTTTAATGCAACATACTGAAAGTATTTGACTATGTTTTGTCAGTGAAGTTCATATTAGAGGAAAAAGTACCTGTTAGTCCGGAGGCTCGGCACCTGTTGGCGTCTTCTATCTTGCAGGGAGTCCTGCCGTTGTGCAGAATTTCCTCCTCTGTGCTTTGAAATAAAGACGTGAGCTCGCTCTCTCTCTTTGTCAGTGGGCTTCACACACACAGACACACACAGACCACTCAGTATGTGATTGTGCGTGAGTCACCTCCACTATGATGGGGGGAAAAAAGAGTCTGTTGTAAATGTTCTTGAGGAAGTCTGATATTCAGATAGAAATCTCTTATTTAAAAAGGACGGGTGTAATTACCTCCAGATGATCCAGTCGGTGTATCAGAGATTAGCTGTGGTCACATTGAATTTTCTTTAATTCCTCCATATTACCCAGTCCTGTTAGACATGCCTTATACAACATTGTTAAAATTACATCACAAATTTCCTCCAGCGGTTGCTTTTTTAATACTTGTATCAGATAATTAAACATTCAAATCTAAATAAAGTTCAAAAACTAAGAATACATACATGTACTTTTTTATTTAGGTATGACGAAATAATTTTTAAAGATGTATGAGATACTAGCTGCATGGTAATGACCTAATTATTTAGTTTAAAGGGGACAAATTATGCAAAATTCTCATTTTGCAGTTTTTTTCTTGCTTTATAGTTTCTACTGCTTCTTAAAACAGTCCAAGTGCTTGGCAATAAGTTGATGTTTTTGTGGTGTCTGGAAAACGAGTCGTTTCAAAAACCTCCCAATTGTTAAGCCACATTCAACTGGCACTGTGCCGTTGCTTAGCAACCTCAGAAGCCTAATTTGTCACCTAGCAACCCAAGCTGAGCTCCAGTACAGCTGGTTTTATTGCTCTATGCACTGTACAATGGCTGCTGGAAAAGACAAGTGTTTTTGTTGTTGACTTTCCAACCAGAAACCACTTGCTGCATTCTTGTTGATTGTACAGAAGGCTCTACTAATGCTTTTCAAAGATGTACGGTTGTATAATTACGCTGTTACAACCCCACTCCATAACCCCTAAAGTAAATGCTGGCACTGGGCTTAACATAAAAGTCAGTCAATTCGAATATTTGATGTCAGTAACGGAACATAATTTATTACAATTCTGATAAAACAACTACAGGAGACAAAAAAGCACAGGGAAGCTTTATGCTTCAGGGTCTCCAAGGCCAAAATAATAAACAAAACACCCCCTTATAATTATAAAATAAAACAACCACTTTCTAAAGCAGAACTAAAAGAAAATACAAAACCTAAACTCCCTTGCTAACCAAAAAACAGGAGAAAACAGTTTGCAACAAAAATGGCAGAGAACCCCTACCAGCTTCCACTGTGAACAGAAACACTTCTTAGACAATTATTCACCAAGATGCTCCCAGCAAGATCAGTTCAGGCCCCACAAACAGTCAGCTTCTCAAACAGGATCATGTCAGGTCAAGGCCCACTTCCTTTCCAAGGTAGGTCACCACTGCTTTGGCAAACTCACATTTTGCCAGATTCAAGGTGAGTGAGGCTTGAGCTAGACGAGCAAACACAGTTTTCAAAGTGTTAACATGATCAGTCCAGGATGATGAAGATGTCATGCTATCGATAAGCATGATAAAGACATTCCCGACACTGTGACAAACTCAAGAACATTGGATTGTGGCTGCGTCTCAGCAGACAGGAGTTGTTCTTTCAGAACCTTCAGTGGTCCTCTTGCACCATACCCAAAAACCAGTTCAGCAGGGCTAAAACCTAAAGACTCCTGTTTAGCTTCTCGGGCTGCAAACAGCAGAAAAGGAAGTCTTTCATCCCAGCTTTTGTCTGTCTCATGATAATATTTGCGCATCTTACCACCCCCAGCCTTGTGACTGGGGGTGGTAAGGACTAGAGGAAACGTGTTCATACGCATCTCCTTGCAGCCATTTTAATGTGTTGGTGTACACTTTGGGGTGTGGCCAGCAGCAGCTTATTTGGATTTAAAGTGCCAAGATGCCCTGAAACAGCTCAGAATAGGCAGATCTCATTATTTAAGAGTGATGTTCTGCAAAAAATTAAATGAACATGTCCCATATAGCCCAGACCTATCCTAACCTTTTTAAGGAAGCATAAGAGCACGGATGGATGTACAAATAAGCATCTTTCTGTATTATATATACATTGTAGTCACTGAAATTCACAGCTATTTCAGTCGACTAAAACAAAAAACAAGAGACCTAAATGCAACTACAACTAAAAGAAAATTGGCATGACATTTAATACTGAGGTTATCATGCATCTGATGATCTAAAACGTGTCAAAGTTGAGGCCTGTGGGCCAAATCTGGCCCGTCGTATCTTCTTATGTGGCCCTCTAGACTCCAGATGCCACATTTCATACATCAGCCAATTTTTTTTACCCAAACTCAAATAATGCATAATTATGCAAAGTCTTCTCAAAATTGGTCAAATCATTGAGTTTAAGTGATGTTAACTCCCACCTGTAGGTGGCGGTATTTGTCACTTCTATACCTCAAATAATGAAAGTCACATTTAATGTCATATATAAGTGCAAATATTACAAAATTCCCTGAAAACATTCCTAAATTAGCAACACTACATCTTCGATTTTGATTGCAAAAAATCATAAAAACAATCATTAAATCCCATGAAAAGATGTCCAATATTAGCTAATTTTAAAAAGTACAGCTTTTTATTAATATTTTAGCAGTTTTATGTTTTATCTATGCATTCTGGCAGATCCTTTGAACACATTAATGATTTTGATGTGGCCCAAAATGAAAAAAAATTGACGTCCCTGATCTAAAACATTTAAATGCGAGAAAAAGAAGTAAACTTTTTCCAGAGAAAAATACATTTTTCACGTCTCTGTTGGCGGAATCACCAGATCTTGACTTCCTGGAATCGTGAACGAATTGCGTCACATCTCCTGCAGTGAGGTACATCAGAAAACAAAACAAAACACTTGTTTGCTGAAGAGAAGAGCTGATTGAAACATGAGGAGACAAACTGGACGCCTCAGTAGCTGGAAACACATTAAACTTTCATAATAATGACTTGGGAATCATGACCTTTATTGTTTGGGTCTTTAAAGTCAGCGTGACACTGACTGTCAAAAACAACCCAGAATTCATTACTAGTCAGCTCTGTTCATGTAGAGCGAAGGATTATTAGAGCCAGAATAATCTTATTTTTCCATAATTTTCTCCCAGAATATTTATGATCTCATCAAGATTGTGTTAAAATACACGCATGGACAAAGTTGTTAATGACTGAAAAACTCATTCTGGTCACTGAAATAACTTCATTCATTTATTTTAAATTATTCTGTTGAACCAAAATCAATTTCAGTGATTAATTTTCAGGTCATTTCAGTTTTAAGATGTTTCAGTGACCAAAAAACTTCAAGTTCCACTTGAAGATTATTTCACTTATAACAAGACATTTCTCCTAAATTATAAATGAAATAATCCACCAGTGAAACTAATACTTTTTTTTAATTATCAATATTAATGAAGTATTTACTTTAGAAAAGCTCATATAACTCACTGAAAGATTACTGGTAAATTAGTTTTTATTTATTTGAAGTGAAATAAGATATTTGCACTAGAATCTCTAATTTTTAAAATTTAAAATTTAATCTCAGTATACTTGAAATAAGACAAGACTAAGGCTCAGCAGTTGGTTTTAAATAAATAATTCCCTATTATTTTAAAAAGTACTAGTTCTATTGACAGATTATTTCACTTAAACACAATATTTTCCCCACATTATAAGTGAAATAATCCACCAGGGGAACCAGAAAATTTCATCAATATTGAGGACTTATTTACTTACAAAAAGCTGTAAGTCACTGAAAGGTTACTTGTAAGTTAGTTTATTTGAATTGTTCTAATATATTTGAACTAGACAGAAAAACCTGAAATAACCAGGTTGTGATAAGCAGCATAAAGTTTAAATATTTGTCAGTTTCTGACAATAAAAGTTTGATTTTTTTACGTCTCTAAATGTTGGGTTCTTTCCTGACGCTGCTGTTGGATTTACTGAGGATTTTTCCACCTGTTTCTGTCTGCAGGAGTTTTTTCACCTGGTTCATCTGAGGTTACTGGGAGTCTTTTCTGTGGAGTTATTAGACTGCTGAGCAGACAAATCCTCCAAGAAAGCCAAGTGGCCGATTCCCTCTCCTGTGTGATGAGTTCCTTGTGCAGAATATAACGTTTTATTGCTGCAGCCTCCTCAGAGTGTGACTGTCAGCGGCAAGCCTCAGGTCTAACATGTGACCACGGCCACAGCAGTCGTTTCTTGGTTCTACCTTTTTATTCTCCAAATGGAGCGTTGCCACATGCAGGGAAGGCAACCTCACGTGTGTCCACCCATTGTGTGCAGGTATAACTGGCTCACTTTAAAATGATGGCGCTCTTTTTGAGAAAATGTTGGTTCTCTCAAGCAGGAAATCAGGTGGGACTCATGGCAGACCTCCTTGGGATTGACTCTTATTCATCAATTTTGAATATGCAGCTATTAAATATTCATTTATTTATCAAGATCTGTTTGCATTTTGATTTCCAATCCGATTTATTATTTATGTCTGGCATAAGGTTAATTTCCTTGTTTATGCCAAACATGAAAAATAATTTCATTTCAGACTCATATTTCCAAAGAACATTATCCTGGTCTTTGTTGATATTCTTTGTATCAAACTTCAGTTACACCCAGAGGTGGGTAGAGTTCCTAAAAATTGTACTCAAGTAAAAGTAGTACTACTTCAACATATTTTTACTCAAGTAAAAGTAAAAGGTAGCCATCCAAAAAGTTATTAAAGTAAGAGTAAATAGTATTTGGTAAAAAGTCTACTCAAACACTGAGCAACAAATCAAATTATCAATAATTTAATAGTTAGAAATTTCATAATCGGATGGATCAAAATGTAAAGTTAAGTGAACAGTTTTGTATTTTAAGGACCAAAATCAGACAAATGAAATGTTTCCAAATCAGTTTCTTTAAATAGAGAATTTCTGAAACTTTATACAAACTACAGGTGTGTGTCTGAGTCTGGTGAATTTTTAATTGAAACCTGTTTGTTTTTCATTCAGTGCATAGAGAATCCAGACATTACTCAAGTAAGAGTAGCAATACTTCACAATTAAATTACTCTAGTAAAAGTAAAAAGTTCAGTGTAGTAAAAATACTCAATTGTTTCAAAAACGTTACTCAAGTAAATGTAATCTAGTAAATGTAATGAGTTACTTCCCAACTCTGATCACATCATTATGTCACTATGGAGACAGTTAAAGACACAAATCAGCATTTAGATTCCCTAGTTGTCAGGATTTCCCTGTTCTCTCTAGCCATTACAAATGTATGCAAAACTTTGTCAATATTCCTCTAATACCTAAAAAAAAAAGCCACAATTTTGCAATTGTTAAATAAGAAATGTAATAAAAATCACATGTGAATAAGTTTCTTTACATGTTAAGTCATTAAAAACTAGCTAACCTACTGTAAAGGAGCTGCAGCTCCTCTTGGGTTGCTAGGAGCCCGGTTGGGGTTGCTAGGTAACAGCACAGTGTGACTCAACAACCAGGAGGTTTTTGAAACGGCTCATTTTCCAGACACCAAAAAACATCTGGCTGGGTAGTTGGGGGGAGGGGGTTAAACCAACTGCTTTGGCAGTTGGTTTTTTGTTTGTTTTTTTGTGGGGGGTTTTTAATAGAAATTTATTTTGCATCAAAGTACATGGTGTGGTACATTACATTAATAAACAAGAAAAAATGAAGAGAAACAGAATATATTGTGTTTTAATGAATGAATATTATTAACCGTGTGTGTGTTTAAAATCAGTTGAGACCCAAGTGGAAGTATAAAAATGGAAAAGGTTAGTTTCCAGAACTTAAGTTTTCTTCTCTACGGTTCTTTGGGTGTAACAATCCCGTTAAACAGACGGTCTCCTCTATCTCACTGTTTTTACTTTAAGTATTCCAGTCCACCAAGGTCTGAGCATCAGAAGGGGAAAGAAAAGGAAACTACCTGAGCCAGGTAACGCATTAATTCATATCTGATCATCACTTCCTGTTTGCTTTAGCAGTCACTCCTCACTTTGTTTCCTTTGGAGAGTCTGACCTGAAAGTCACCCCCATGAAGCTCATACACATGTTCAGATTTATTATCAATAAAACTATTTCATCTCTACTGGGTTGCTGTTTTCATTTTGGCTCCAGAACGTACTTGCACTAATATTACTGACTTTATTTATTGGCGCTGCTTTAAACAAGCAGTGCTTGTGAATGCCTTGAAATCCCAATCAGCTGATCAACACCAGCAGGATTTATTACCTTTTATCTTCATCACCTGCTGATGATAAACGACCAGCAGCTGAAGCAGAAATGGCATTTATGGATTCAGCTGAAATATATCTGTGAGGTCCTGTTCAGGTCACAGATCCACTTAAACTCTGACAGGTGGCACCAAATAAATCTCCAGCAAAACTAGAGAAAGTGAGCTCAGGTTATTTTGTATTTAACTGCAGTTTTTAGTCATTTGTTTGTGTTTTCTTTTTGTTTGGATTTTCATGAATCAAAGCAGTTTTAAACATGGCAGCTACAAAATTTTGATTTCAGTCACACTGCAAAAATACTAAATCTTACCAAGAATTGTTGGTCTTAGTTTCTAGTGCAAATACCTTAGTTCACTTAAAATAAGACAAAATTAACTTTAACTGTTCAGCAAGATATCAGAGCTTGTTTCAAACTGATAATTGGTCAATAAATGAAAAGGTGCTTGTTCCTCAGGGAGATTGTTTCACTTAACACAACAGTTTTACCTTGTTATTAGTAAAGTAATCTGCATTGGCATTAATAAACTAAATAAATTATTGACATAAAACAAGCTAATATATCTTGTTAAAAGTTGCTATAAGTTAATTTTGTTTTATTTTAAGTGTTCTAAGATATTTGCAAAAACTAAACAAAAATACTTGGTAATATTTTGTATTTTTGTAGTGTGACAAACTTAAAACAATTCATATAAATAACATAATTCAAAAGTAAAATAAGAAAAAAGCTTAGATGACAGTTTGTCTTGAGAAAATTTCTCAGAAATCAAATAACTTAGACATTTAAGGTATATAATAATAAATATAATATTGAAAAAGACCAAAAATAGAAATGTTAGTTTTCTAGAAAGAACATGAAAAAGATTACTGATGTCTTTGAATTCATTTTATAATCTTAGTTTTTTGAGGTAAAGTACTTTGAGTTCTTACACATGTAATCTGAGTAAATGGGCCTCGTCTGTAGTAATGCAGAAATGAAACCGTGAATAAGATTATGACAAATACATAAAGGAGTTCTTTATGAGCGCCTCACGGGTACGGATGGTACGTTTGATTAAAAAATGGATGCCAGCTAAATTCCAATTTCCAGGTCGTTATCGCCCATCCATCATGTTAGCGCTGCGAAAACTATTTTTGATTAATTATTCTCACTGAAATAATAATTATGAAGAAGGGCTTCCCATAATAGATGAAAAAAGAATTGTTTTTTATTGGCATGAATCGCCTCCTGTGAAGGATTAAATCAGGACAAACAGATCAGGAGATTTCAGATGTTCTGGAAGACGGACAGCAGAACGATCAGGGGTTTTCACACCAGGACCCTGGATTAATGAAGACACTGAAAACAAAGCTGCTGGTTTTGTTTTAATGATGACATGTTGCCAGGAGTTTCCCAGGATGAATTGATTTTGCTGAAAGTGACAATTTATATGTTGCATTTGGGACAAACTGGAAAAAAATGCTGATCTGTGAACTTTGAGCATCGATTCTTCTTTTTCTCCATTTTTCTATCACTGATTTTTATTTATGTGATATATATTCCAACGTGTAGGAGGGTTAAACTCAGCAATACACATTTCAATCTGATCTGACTAAAGTAAAATTAATTTTATGATGTGAATTTTAAATGTTGGCTGATTCAGTTCAGCTCAACTCTGAACAGGAATGGATGTCATCCCACAGAATATTATCAGATTTGTCCCAAAATGGTTCTCGCCAATACAACAGCATATTAGTGACATTGTGGATAAAAAAGAGAAAATTTTTACCAAAAACTCATAAAGTTTTAGATTAATCTAAGAAATTTTCAAGAAAAAAAATTAAGAGCTTGAAAAGTGGAAAGTCTGCTTGATAAAATACTTTTGAATTTTACGATTAAGCTCAGAAATATTTTAGAAAAAACAAGAAAATTTCAGAGATTAAATTCAGAAATTTCTAGAAAAAGCAAGGAATTTTCTAAGTTTGAAAAGTGGAAAAATGTCCAGAAAAAGAACTGAAATTCTGAGATTCTTATAAATTTTCTATAGCAAAACTTGGAAATTTCTGAGTCTCAAAAGTCAAAAATATTCAAGATGTGTCCAAGCTGGCAAGCTTCAGCCTCCCAGAGCAGCTCTCCTCTGCAACTCTTCCGCTCCTTCAGACTAGCCAGCAGCAATTAGCAAACAGTGGAACTGCACATCTGTTGAGCTCATGATAGGAGCAGCTTCGCAATGAAACGCTGGTAAAAACGTGCTCCAGGGTTAATAGAGGAAAGATGTTATGATCACTTCCTGAAAGTAGAGTTTCAGAAAGAGCAGAATGTCTTAAAGAGACAGAGAATTTCAAGGTGCTAAATTACAAAGTAAAATTTCTTTTAAGTTATATTTGATATATAGCAACTGAAGTTAACATAGTTACTTAACCGTGCTATAAAATTGCACTATGTCCATTTAAAATGCATAATACTGACCCTTTAAATTTAATTTTTTTTTATTTGCTGCAGACACATTTTTCAGTTTTTACCCATAGTGCATCTGTTCTTTCCCAGATCTTTACTCACTCAGGATCATCCCTCTTAGGGGAAACACGTGCAGATCCTGATTCCTCCTTCAATGTGTCTTGGTGTCGAGTTAATGAGGCGACATTCTGGGCAGGATTTCTTTTAACCCGCTGTGTGACAGCATTTATGATGCACAAGTGCCTGGAAGGTTTGGAGCTTTAGGAAACTGCAAAGAGAGATGTGAAAACAGACTTCAGGTTCCTGAATCTGAATTTATCCTAACTACAGGTGGGAGCCACATGCCCAGCCTCTGAAAAGCTTTGAGAAATTTGTGTTGCTTGATGTTACGTCACGTTACCTGCACAATGATGCAGAAAAGGATGACAAATGCAGGGGATGTTCCTGGACTATTTGGTCATGAAGGAGAAACGTTCAAAGAAAAATAGTCAGAACCAAACTTCCTGCTTTCCCTTTAATTTTATGGTCGATATGACCACATTTATCCTACATGTATACACTAAAAATGACCAAAATCTGTATTTATTTACATCATTTAAACCTGGCTGAATGCAGAAAGTGTTTTCAAATAAAGAATGACCTAGATTGTCTTTAACAGTTGCCCAAAAAATAAGGAAAACCATTTTGACGTTTTCAATCTACAAACTACAAACATTTACACATTCCTATATATATATATATATATATATATATATATATATATATATATTCCGGAGGTTTTTGAAACTGCTAATTTTCCAAACACTTTTATGCACCTGAGCTATTTTTAGAAGTAGAAATCCAAATCAAAGTAAAAAGAAAAAAATTTATTCAAAATGTGAATTTTGTATAAAATAAAAAAAAAAATAAAAAAAATCCTGGTTGTAGATTATTTAACTTATAGGAAAAATGTTTTGTTACAAGTGAAGCAATCTGCCAGTAGAGCTAATAAAGTTGCTAATGTTTTAGCATAAATCTCAGTGTTGATGATTTTTCGCTGCTTTTTGTTTAGATTTATAGCTAATACACAGAACCAGTCTCTGCAGATTGTTGCTCAAATATAAGTCGAGTCTTACAAGATAATTTATGAACCACTCATGTTTATGATAGAAATTACATGAAGAAATGGGATTTCTTGTCTCTTAATACTCAAGTGTACTTCTGTGCCACTTTCCAATAAATTAACCAGACTTATAATTTGATTTTAAATAAGCTAAAAGTAAGTGTAATCTAAAAATCAAACAGATATTTAATGAACCACATTGAAGTCTAGTGGTTTATCCTCCACTAAATGTTTTAACTAAAACATAACAGTGGAAGCAGAGAGATATGAAAAAACCTAACATGTTTGGGTACACAGATATTTACAACCTAGAAGGTTGAACCGATATTACAATTAAAACGGAAGAAAATTATGGAGGGTGAACAGTGCCGAATTATGAAAAAATTATTTAAATGTCATTATTTTTTTAAAAACTGGAAGAAAATACAGAAATAACTTATTAAATATAGATTATAGAATTCATTTCTACCAAGAAATAGAAAAAATAAGGAATGAATGTCTGAGTTTCAAGTCAAAATTTTCCAACTTTTGAAACTCAGAAATGTCCTTGATTTTTCTTGAAATTTTCTGAAATTAATCTCAAAAGATTTTTTTCTAACAAATGTTCAACTTTTCAAATGTTCAACTTTTCAAATTCAGAATTCTGTTTTTAATTCTTTTATTAATTTCAAAATGCTTGAGTTTTTTCTAGAAAATTGTCAAACTCAAAGTGTTTTCATTGTTTTTTAGAAAACCCTGTCTTGTTAAACAATATTTCACATTTTAAATACAGTTCAGTATCTGTGAATCTTTTCCAAATGTTTTTTGGTTAAAGTCAACAGCCACAAGTCAGGAGAAGCTGAGGCAGCTGATCTGCTGTGGCGCCCCCTACGGGGAACAGGCTACAGCTTTTTTTCCTTTTGAATAATAAAAACATTAAATCAAATTTCTCTCATTTTCAACTGCATGTAAGAAGCAAAGTAACAGTCACAACATTTTTTATTTAAACATGAGTAAAATTATGCTCAAAATGAAAGGAAACATAAAATGTGTAAGTTTCTAAAAGTCATATTGATTTGTGGAAATTAGATTAAAAAAACAGAATGTGGTTTGTATTTTATTGCAATATTTACAGCTTTTTGTATTTCCAACTATTGTGGTTTTCCTATTTAAGCAAATCTGAGAAGCACATGAGAACAAGGATATTTTTACACGTCATTTTGTGGAAAAAGATGGACATTTAAGACAAAAACAGGAGAACTGGCAGATGAACCCGACATCTCCACTGGAAGGTAAACTGGAAATGATTTTTACAGAATACTTGGCTGATTAATACTTCCATTCAGAATATTTACACATTTATTTCTCTGGGGAGCTGCTATTGCCCTCCTCTTCGTTCTGTTCTCCTCTCGCCGTCTCCTCTTCGTGTGGCGTGCGAACCGATCCGGTTGGTTCTGTACTCTGGGTCGGCCTCAGGAGATACTCCAGCTCCTCCGCGCTGATGGCCACCTTCTCTGGGATCAACCACCTCTTGAAATGCTCCAGAGCACTGAGAGGAGCAGCCAAGGCCTAACGGTTACTGACTGAGTCACACACACATGAATAAGTAAATAAAAACTAACAGATTTGGATGGTCCTACCTATCATCCATGTCGTCGCTTTGGAAGAGCTCTGAGGTCTGGGCATCATGCAGAAATCGATCCCAGCATTCCTTCTTAGCTTGAGACAACGAGCGCAGGATGTCTTTGGAGGTCACGTCACTGGACTGACCCTTTATCTTTCTCAAACGGTTTTCTGTGATAAAATAGAAACAAAATGTACAAGTCTTAAATTATTATAATTATTATTGCATTTTGATCAGCATTGATGCAGCAGAAGAATATTTAGTCATTTAAAACAAAATGAAAACGTTTCATTGACAAAATAGCACACAACAACCTTTTTAATAAAATCTTAAAATTATGGAAATACTTTATTTTCCATCTAGACATTTATAGCTTTTTATTTTTAATGTACTGCAGCATTTACCAGTAATACTACTGACAGGATAAAATTGTTCTCAAAAGGAAAACAAGAAGCACTAATCTAAAGAAATGAGAAACATGTTAGTCTGGAGTTACAAAGACGATGGTAAGACTTTGGGAGTCCGTTTAACCACAGTATATGGAGGACTGGTCCTGCCAAAACAAACAAATAAATACATAAGGAAATAAAACTGTAAATAAACCTGTTAAAAATAATTAGTATTATCTCCTCATTTATTATTTATTCATCTATGGTCAGTTTTGGCAGAATCAGTTCTCCATACTCCATGATAGATTACTGATTTCCATTTAGTTTCTACTTCTTTAGTTACTTTGACCTACTTCATGCTGCCAGATAAGTTGTATTTAAGTAATTTCTTAATTCTACAGATCTGACAGTAATGAGGACTCAACTTTCTAAAATAAAAAAAGCTTAATCACGGTTAATTCATAGCTTAATGAGGGGGACAATTATATTTTCCTCAAAGAATCATATTGGTTTGGATGTCTGGTTTCCTCTTAAGACTCAAACTCATCGACTGTAAACTGCTTTTTGAATTTATTTTTTATTTTTTGCCAAATATTAAACATTTCTTGGTCTTCTGAAACACTTCAGTTTGGCAAAGCGCTAAAACAAGGAAAAATCTGAGAAGTAAATACTTTAACACTGTAAAAACCAGTACAATGGTTTAGATAATAATTATAATTTGGATATAATTTAGATTGTAATTCCATGTATTCTCTGTTATGAATTATTATTTTATACAGTAACTAAGACTAAAACAAGCAGTTTATTCCAACCATGAAAAAAAATTCAACAATATTTTGTTTAACATTTCATGGGAACATCAGCAAAATGTCTGAAATTAGCTATTTTTTTGTTTTTTGTAATAGAAACTCAGCATTTAACTCATAATCTACACAGTGTTTGTATTCGAGAGTGCATTTCTTTCACATAAAGAGCAGAAGAGAAATACCTAAACTGGCTAAGTAAGACTCGGAGTCCTCCATGGGTTTCCACTGAGCACTGGGAGAACTGGTCCCATTCACTTGTGCACCAGCCTGGACTTCATGGTGGGCTGCTGGGTGGAAGGAATCCGTGAACTCCGGGCTGGTCTCCGGAGCCTGGACCTCCGGAAGGCTGGAGCAAATCTGCGACCACAACTCCCCGCTGGTTTGAACCTCCTGACCGTCGAAGTTATCAACCATCCTTGTCCAGTCAGCGCTGAACAGAGATCGGTTTTAGATCGTTATTTTTCCTTTAATAACGACAGTTTCCTGAGACAGTAATAACCTCCATGGTTGCTTCTGCGCACCTAAAATATTCTCCTGACATGTTAGCACTAAAAAACGACAACACAAATCAAATAACATTAACAAACGAGTCTTACCTGGTAGATAATATCACCTGGTCAATATGTATTTACGATGATTTATTAAGTTAAACTGAAGTTTAGCTACCACAGCTAACTGTGTCGTCCAAACACTGTTTTAAATCGCAGGGAGAATTTGATTGGACGTCAAGGCTGTTAATCAAACGTTCTAGAGATTTCATTGGATAATCACTCAAACACGTAAAAGAGACGTACACGCGGCGTAAGAGTCCAGATCGTACGTAGACCTCTTCGCCATATTGTAAAGGTAATTTCAAGAGATTTCTGTCCAGTTATATGATTGTGAGACATCAAAAGCTAAAAATGTTGTGTATTTCGCTACTTATCATAACATAGAAATGAATAACCGAAAACCATGATTCCTGATACTATGTAATAAATTATGATAAATAAAAAGTAAAGTTATAATAATAATAATAATAATAATAATAATAATAATAATAATAATAATAATAATAATATGAATTAATCATCATCATCAATGTTAACTGAAGATAAAAAGATTATTTTCATAAAAAGTAACCTTTCTTTATTTAACCTTTAAAAATGACTATTTATGCTATTTACAACTGGAACCAAACAAAAGGCAGGGCATACTGAGGAGAATTAGACTAAATTGCTACAAAGCAAAACATTAATAACACTAAACAAATCAAACAATTTAGGAATTTGAAACATAAAGCTAAGTAAAAATACATATATTTTAACCTTTAAGGCTACAAACACAAAAAAACTTATTAAAATTACCAATAAGATAAAACTAGCAAAGGTCAGACACACATAAAATTATGAAAAACTAATATCAGCAGGAAATAAAAGAGAAGTGCTAACCAGTATAATCTTTCATTCTGCTATGTTCACTGACTTCCCCTTTTTAGACTAGGGAAGCTGCTCTAAAATTATTTGTCCGTCTAAACAAACAGCTTTAAATAGATTATGACAAAACAGGATTTTAGCTTGCAAACTGAGCCAAATTAAAATTAGCTTTGCTGAATTTTCTAGATGAAATCAAAGTATATACAGGTTCATTTTTCGTACAGAATTGGTATGAGTTGTGCTGTTTATTGTAATATATTTTAATATATGTAAAAATATATTACTGACTGTGAAAAGATATATTAAAATCAGTTAAACGTTTTTTAACCT